CTCTGTCCCCCCCCCAGTTCCCTCTGTGTTCCAAATTCTTTCTGCCCCTCCCAATTCCTTCAGGCCCCCTCCAGTTCTCTCTGCCCCCCATTCCCTGTGTCCCCACTCTGATTCTCTCAGTCTCCCCCTGTCCCCACTGTGTGACATCCCTGGCGTCCCCGGTGTGTGACACATCCGTGGTGTCCCTGCTGTGTGACGTGTTCTCAGCGCGTGACACATCCCCAGCGTTGCCAGTGTGTGGCACATCCCCAGCGTGCGAAAAATTGCTGTTGTCTTTGTTGTGTGACAAATCCCCGGTGTCCCCTGTCCATGACAAATCCCTGGAGTCCCTGCTGCGTGTCACATCCCCAGTGTCCCCAGTCCATTCCATGTCCCTGCTGTGTGACACAACCCAACGTGTCCCCAGTCCATTCCATGTCCCTGCTGTGTGACACATCCCTGGTTTCCCCCGTCCATTCCATGTCCCTGCTGTGTGACACATACCCGGTGTCCCCCGTCCATTCCATGTCCCTGCTGTGTGACACATCCCCGGTGTCCCCCGTCCATTCCATGTCCCTGCTGTGTGACACATCCCCAGTGTCCCCCGTCCATTCCATGTCCCTGCTGTGTGACACATACCCAGTGTCCCCCGTCCATTCCATGTCCCTGCTGTGTGACACATCCCAACGTGTCCCCCGGCCATTCCATGTCCCTGCTGTGTGACACATCCCCAGTGTCCCCAGTCCATTCCATGTCCCTGCTGTGTGACACATCCCCGGTGTCCCCCGTCCATTCCATGTCCCTGCTGTGTGACACAACCCAACGTGTCCCCAGTCCATTCCATGTCCATGCTGTGTGACACATCCCCGATGTCCCCCGTCCATTCCATGTCCCTGCTGTATGACACATCCCCGGTGTCCCCCGTCCATGCCTGTCCCTGCTGTGTGACACATCCCAACGTGTCCCCCGTCCATTCCGTGTCCCTGCTGTGTGACACATCCCGTGTCCCCCGGCCATTCCATGTCCCTGCTGTGTGACACATCCCCGGTGTCCCCCGTCCATTCCATGTCCCTGCTGTGTGACACATCCCCAGTGTCCCCCGTCCATGCCTGTCCCTGCTGTGTGACACATCCCCGGTGTCCCCTGTCCAT